GCTCTCCAATAGGAGCCTGAAAAAACGAAACTTATACAAACGCGTAGGTGTACTGAGGTGTACTGATGGTCGGTGGATGCCGTGATGGGCGGAAGCGAGCCGCGGACAGCGCATGTAAACACTCGACATATGTTGCGGCCAGGGCCGACTACTGGCGAGGATCCGCAGGGGGCCCCCCAGGTGTAACAGTTTTCGTGAAATAATTAATTCAGTATACCAATAATAACGGTATTAACGGTATGGCGCTAATTAATAAATAGTGAATCGATTTTCATTGTAAGATATACGTATATTAATTGATATACATTGCTGGTATATTCCGCTTTAATTTAATTTCACAAGTTTAAAAGATATACTAATTATTAGTGGCGAGAAAGGAATAATGTTATATAAAAAAGAAAAGGGTTAAAATATCCAAATAAAATCATTTCATACAATAAACTTTAGTTTTCTTATAGATATTATACGAACGGTTGACTGAAAATTAAATTTTGTCGTTTATATTAAAGTTTTTATTTTTTAACATTTTTTGTTACACGCATGTATGAAGTTCAAAAATAGTCTCTTTTATTTCTTTTAATTACAAAGTTGATTTTCTCGGAAACAAAGCTTTGTTAAAAAAATTTTGTCAGATATTTTTGATATATTTTTTCAACGTTGGATAGTAAATAGTTAATTAGTCAAAATTTAAATGATAAAGTTATAATGCTGATAATTTTTATTTTCTGCATATTTAATATTAATCTTTCATCCATGACAATTCACGCATTAACAGTCACCAACACACTGAGCATTGAGCAAGCTGCTGAAAACGTGTCCAAGTATTTACACTGGCAACTGGCAAGTGGCAGTGAATAATGGAACATAACCTGAACTGAATATGTAGCGTGTAGTAAACAATTCTCCTTTTTTTTTTACGTGATTACGATGCGATCATCGCACGATAATTACATTAATGGTATAAGAATGCAAGTTCGTGTACGAGGGTTTCAGGGATCAATAGCGATAAGATGGTGAATAAAATGTTAAACTCGTCTTGTGTGTGTACATGACCATTTAACCTCTTGTCATCACATTGTGCCAACGATCTAGTTGCTATTAAAGCTGATGATATCAACCGTAATATACCGATGAACGAACTCAAGACTGCGTCATTGAGTTTTTTTAATCAGCGTTATAGAATGCTGTAAGTTACGGAGAGATGTTACGACGGAATAGGTAATCTTTTTATGCAATCGTTTAACAAGTGCATGTAATAGTTCAAAAACACGTTACATTCGAGTTCAAATTAACGATTATTTTTTACTAAAGAGAAAATTAAAACCTGCTCTGTGAATTATCTCAAATAAATACTTGATTTGACGAGAAACTTGATAGTAAAACGATAAGCTATTAATAATAAAGAAATATATTAAATTAAACAAAATAGACTGTTTTATTTATATATTATTTAAACATTTTTATCGATTGTGATATAAAGTGGACCGTGATTATGTGAAGTAACTAGCAATGACTGTTGTCTTTGTTTTGCAACAATTACAAGATCTAAAAGTTACCTTTCAATATAATGTATAAAAAAAAATTAAATTATAAATGATTAACAATTTATATTAAACAGGTTGAAGCACAGAGTAATATCAATTGGTATCATTGTTCTTGTGACAATATTTTACAATGAATTTCTCGTATATGAAGTACAAAAGCTCAAGTGGACCATGCGCGAATGCTCCGAGTGCGTCAAGATCCTTCTTGTCGCGGATCCTCAAATACTTGGGGAAAAATATGAGAATTACTTTGGTTCATGGATAGCAAGATGGGATAGTGATAGGTATGATCAGCAAAACATCTAGTAATTTTATTGTAATCAGTAGACAAGAGCTATACAGATCATTTGTATTTTGTTGCACAGGTATTTAGAGAAGACTTTCTCGAGAGCATTAAAATTTTCTCAGCCGCACGTTATTGCCTTCTTAGGTGATCTCATGGATGAAGGTCATATAGCTAATGCAGAAGATTTTGAAAGGTACAAGAGGAGGTTAGATTCAATATTTTCGATGCCAGATGACATAATGGTATTTTACTTTAATTATGTAATTTTATTTTCTCCTTTTTCTCTCTTGTGGAAACTCTATGTTTCATTGCTAGTCTTGTCTTTTTTTAGAAAATTTATTTGCCAGGCGACAATGACATTGGAGGTGAGAACGATCGTGTTTCTCCCAACATCCACAAGAGATTTAATTTCGCATATACTCAGCCAGACACATTAGTGTACAAGACGGTTACCTTTTTCAAAGTAAACACAAATCTTTTAGATATAATCTTTGCGTGTTTATCAGATAAATTGGCAAATATTTTGTTTTAGGTAAACAGATTGACACGCACGATGCCGGAAGCGCCGAAGGATGCATTTCTTAATGATTACGCGGAAAGGAATACGACTAATGTCATTCTTAGCCATGTACCTTTGCTGTTTACGCCCGGAAGTTTCGTACAAAATGTACTTTTCAAGTATTGCAAATAAGAGAAGCTCACTTGATGATTTATCTTGTACCACTGTCTGATCTTATAGGTAATCAAAGAGTTATCGCCGCAAGTTATTTTTACCGCGCACGAACATAAAGCGATGCAAATAAGTCTGGACACGGCAACAGATCAGTTAAGCGACGTTTGGATTTTGTCACCTTATGAGACGCTTCTGTACCAATTAAGAATGGACGTAGGGGATATTCACGAAATACAAATACCCACCTGTTCCTACAGAATGGGTACACCACACATGGGTTACGGACTTGCATACATAGGTATAGATCTTTCAATATGTTGAATTTCTCAATATTTATTATTGTCGGTCATAATTACATCGGTGTGTATATACATTGCAGATACTCAAGAGAAGACCGTTGAATTCACAATTCTGTGGTTACCAGACAGATTCCCGCTGCTACGTGCTTATATATTTATCGGTATATTGGTCGTCATACTTGCCATTTGTTTTTTCGTTTCAGGCTGCTGTGTAAAAGGCTATGCAACTTATAATCGTTTACCTCCCGTTTAAAGTAGGTTTTAATCAAAAAAGTACTTATGCGTTCAAGTGAATTAACTTAGCATTGTGATTAGATGACAAAGATCCGTCCAGGTTACATGATTCTTCGACCGTCTGTATTAAATCCCGAAGGAAATGAGAATAACATTTATTAGCTGCCACGTTGAAATGACTTACAATGAAACTTAGGGTACTTGATGATACAAATTGATACAAATGTTCTATTTTATTCATTGAATGTCGAGAAAGATAGAATGATGTTTTGTCGACTTGTATCACTAAATGATATATTATCTTGTTCATTGAATCTTAAAAATCTTAGATCTCCGAAGCAGGACGCTTTTAAAGAATTTTGTTCTCTTAAGACTTTCTATAAAATTATTTATGATAAATATATATTTATTTGCTTTAAATATTAATCACACACGTTGTCGTACATGACTGAAAGCATGCCAAATATTCTATTGAATAATAGCGCTGGCTTTAGGCATCTTGACTAATGTTTGAATTATAATTCGAGTGACTTATAATTTCAAGAAAAACTTATCGTCAAAGAATAGATAAATAGTAAATGATGAGTTCTTGTAAGAGCGTTTAAATTATTATATCTGAATTTAATTCTGTATTGTTTTTCGGCATTCTAAATCATCATTTTCTTCAGCCTTAAAGCCAGCGCGGCATAAGAGTATTATGTACATAGTGATATTTCTTGATGAATCTCGATGTTTTATTCTAAAATATTTGTGTGTGTGTGTGTGTGTATATATATATATATATACACACACAAACACATAAATACAATATGCCAAACGTTAATGTGGCGGTATTCAAACGTCACCGTTACTTAAATGATTTCTTCTACATAATATATAAAAGAAGAAAACCTGCTTAAAATACATCACCAGTAATGTCAATGAGATAATAGAAAAAATCCATCGATTATGCTGTCTTAGTTATGCTCTCTTAATTAATGAATAAGAAATTCTATTATATATCATGTTATAAAATATAGAAATATAAGGAAGAATTGTTGAGCAAGAATGTATTATAGATAGATCGATTTATATTTCTTCGTGAATCTGTATACACGCAATATTTGAAATAAATGTGCTGAGACACAAATTTAATCTATTATACATCGCCTTACATGAAGATATCTTATTTTTTGTTAATATTATGATGATTTTTTGGCGATTTTTCGGGAGATCTTAAAGAATTATTAAAATGTTCTGTATAAATGTTATAATAAACATTGTTCAACTCTTCTGTCAAAATCTGTAATAAAAAATTTTGACAGGTGCTAAGCCTATAAAACCCATTTAATTTATGTTATTAGGAGTGTGATTTAGTTTTGAATTTTTTTTTAAACTGACATTTTCCTTTATGAATTTTTCCCATATCATGTAAACATTTACTAACTGTTGTACAATCAACATTTAATTGTATGACGAGTTCTGAAGTGGATTGTGCTGAATTTTCTTCCAACAACGCTTGCAAATCTGCATTTTCTAGCTTTTTTTTATTGTCTCGAGCAATCGTTGTTGTTAACATTGAAATCATCACTTTTGAATCGCTTGAACAATATTCACATATCTTAATTGATGGAGCAATTCCTTCTAAATAAAAGCAACGCATGTCGAAAATGCTCTTTAAAAATCTCCATTTTTTAAACGGTACAAACACGTCTGTCTATATTTACTGCGTCTATCATTAGTAAACGAGTAAACATCATGGAGTAATAGCTGCGATTGTCTTCGACACACGCAAAACCCTCAAAACTAAATCACACTCCTAATAATTAAAACACACTAATTACAACAAATCGAAGCGTAACTCGTATAAAAAAGAATGAATACTAATAAATAGTTCAGTATATTTTAATAATAAAAATCCAAATTTACAGAAAATTTAATTTCAAGCTAGAAAATTGAACCGTTTGACATTTTTGACAGAAAGATTTGTATAATTGAGTCAGTTCAATCATCCATCATCAGTTCGATTAGTTCCAAATGGTGTCAATATTTTCTGACATTCAAGACTTCGAAATAACAGCCATAGTACACGAATATCTTATAGGTACGGCGCTTTTGATCTTTAAGCACAAAGGCATTCCCGCCTGCTGGTACGCCAATAACCTTGAAAAGTTATTCCGTCGCAGTAAACAAAATAAACATCATTTGTCAAATGTGAAATTAAGAAGTGACAAACTGAATCGATTATTTCCACGAAATCTACATCGCGTTCTCTTCTGCATAATGGGTAAGAGGAAGGCTGCAGGTAATGCGAACAATCCAAATCATGACCTGTGTGACTTTTTGATGGGTAAGTAACTTCCTTCTGTATGTTATAAAATGATTTTTTTCATTGACAAGGTAAGGGAATATAATTCTGTTTAAATTTGTATTATAAGAATACGCGAAAGGTATATGATAAGATATCTATTTGCAGAACTGGCAGATTATGAACGTAATGTCAGCAAGAATGTTTATAAGTACAATGCATATCGCAAAGCAGCTGGAACATTAAGTGCTCTGACAGAGAGAGTTAAGAGTGGAGAAGAGGCGAAAAAGTTACCTGGAATAGGAGAAAAAATCGCAAAGAAGATAGATGAATTTCTTCAGACTGGAAAACTGCAAAAGCTAGAAGATGTACAATTTTGAAATGATAATTTAAACATGTATGTGAATCTTTCTATATATTTTTTCTTTTTTCAGATTAAGAAGGATGATACTAATGTTGCCATTAGTCTGTTGGCCCGGGTATCTGGCATAGGACCTGCCAAGGCAAAGGAATTAGTAGAAGCTGGTATCAAGACTTTGGAAGATCTTAAAAAGCATCAAGACAAACTTACGCATCATCAGAAACTGGGATTGAAGTATGAAATTGATCTGTTGACGCATATATTTCAACTAATACAACAAATTCTTGTAGGTATTTTGATGACTTTGAGAAGAAAATACCAAGAGCAGAAATTGTACAGATAGAGAAGGTATTGAAGAATGCTATCAAGGAGCTAAACAGAGCTTATCTCGTAACTATCTGTGGGAGTTACAGACGTGGTAAAGAGGAAAGTGGAGATATCGATGTTCTTGTAACTCATCCTGATTATATATCAAAATCAAAAGATGAAAAAAAGAAGGCCATATCATTGAAAACAATTGTTGAGTGTCTTGAAAAGAAAAAATTGATTACAGATACAATATCTCTTGGCTCTACTAAATTTATGGTATATTAAAATAGGATAAGAAGCGTTTATATGAGGAAAACATTTTTAATTATATATTATTTTTGTGCAGGGAATATGTCAGTTACCAGAAGATAAAAGCAAACCTTTCAGAAGATTAGACATACGTCTTACATTTCACGATCAATATTATTGCGCTATACTTTATTTCACTGGGAGTGATCTGTTCAACAAGAATATGAGAGCTCATGCATTGGAAAAGAAATATACTTTGAATGAATATGCATTAAAGCGTCTTACAATCGAAGGTAAAGTATGATCGAGAAACAATACATAAATATGTGTGAAAATGTAGTAATTCAAAAAATTTCACAGTTATAAGAGATTATTTTTAGGTCGTCCAGGAGAAGCTGAAAAAATTACATCCGAAGAAGACGTTTTCAAATTCCTAGATTTACCCTATAAAGATCCAAAAGACAGAAATATGTAAATGGAAAAAAATTTTCTTTTTTTATATTCATAATTTATTGTCATATAAAAATATATTTTACGTATTATTTATTTGTATTGCAATATAAAATAAAAAAAATTCTGTTAAATTAATATGTTAAAAATAAAATATCATTCACACATAATAAATTTTATAAAAATTTTATTTAGAAAGTTAATACATAATAAAATGAAAACTGCGTTATTTCTATATTTTACAATATTTGTCAATCAACAATTTACTTGTATAAGAGCGATAAATATTCATCATTTAACATATTATTTTAGAAATTTTATTTCGTAAATCACACAGTCTCATAAGCAAGTATATATCTGCATTAACAATAATGTAAGTGTAGTAATAATACTCAATCCTTTAAACGCAGGATTATGATGCTTTACGATAAAATCATTAATAATATCGTTGACATTATTAATTTTAAACAGATATAATAATGTCTTTTAAATATAACCAATATGCAATAACACCCCATAACGTTGTGGTCCACAAATTCATAGCGAGAACTGACCAATGCGTAGCATGTGACAATTTCCAAGCCCATGGAAATATGCCCCTGGTGACAATATGTCCAACATAGAGAGTAATTGGATTCAAACCTAAAACAAGTATAAAATTAAAAATATGTAGAGCTCATTTTAGTTGCAGTTAACGCATAAAAAATGGAATGCATATTTGGACACTGCATGATAAAAGAGATAAAAAAAGATTTAACAGGAAAAAGAAATTTATATATGTATTATTAGATAACACATACCTGCGTAGTTAAATGGTGCACCACTCCAATATTGTTTATAATCGACAAAGACATATAAGATTGCATATAATAAAAATGCAAAACAGGATACTGTCAAAACAAATGAAAGCGACATCATGTTCTTGCTGACTGGTATTACTCCAAATTCTTTATCAAAGTCACATAATATTCCAGCAATAAGACCCTGAATATCAATATTGATTATTATTAATCGTATAAATGTATTTTCTTTCTGTTGTCATGTTGAATAAAAAAAAAATTGGAACTTACGGTGACAAATGACCACAGTAACCAGCGTATTACTTTAGCATTGCATTGGTAGTAGAGTAATAAAATCTTTCCAGCATGGACACCCAAGTACACAACAAGTATCATAGATATAGTGTTCATTATACCTGTGACATGTTGATTATAAATTTCATTATACAAAACTTATAAAACTTTTATTGGAAAAAATAAAATATGTTATGCATACCTTCAGGATCATGAGGCAAGAGGGTACCATACACAGGATTTTGTGTTTTGGAATATATATGACTGCCAAACACGAGTCTGTCTATGTAACCGGCTGCGCCTCCAGTACAATTAGCGAATTCTCCGAAATGATGGTAACCACCGGGTCCCAAGTATCCTGTTGGACAATTCGGGACAGGCAGGAGAAACGTGATTAGGATATGCGTCATCAAAATCGCTAAAATAATCAACCACTGTGCCCAATTGTTCAAGATATCTCGAAGGATTGTAAATCGACCAAACTGTAACACGTCATCCTAAGAGGTTATTAATTATCACTATTATTGATCCACTGTAGACATATGTAACGTGTTATTATAAAGAAAAAAAAAATATGATTCAAACCTGAGAATGCGTCTTCATAAATACAGTCTCAATAGTGGCGCATATGAAGTACGAAACAGCCAGCAACTGAAGAACACCAGGAAACCGGAGATCATCTAGCGACTTTGCATAAATTGAGTTCAACATCAATCCGAGAAATATGAGAATAATTGTGCGCTGCAGGCAACGCAAAATAATCTTTCCGCGTGAATTTGACACACGAAGCTCTGATCGCTTTGATATAGTGATCGACAATCCCATGATCCACGCAAACCTGAAATTGCAGTGTAAGAGTATAATAGCGGTAGAATAAAATGTACAAAATGCGAAAGGATACAGATAATTTACCAAGGTAACACTAAGTCGGCCACTGTCAGACCATTCCACGCACTATGATTGAAAAACATATACTGGCCACCGCCGTTATTGACAAATATCATCAATAATATAGCAATCCTGAAATGATTTTCATTATATAATGTTAAGAGAGTGCGTTAAATCATTTCACATGTAAAAACTAAAAATACCCTCGGAACGTATCGACTGATCGGATCCTAGTACTAGATCTGTTTGTCCTAACCATGATATTTGCCGTCTCCGCTTCTTGAAGCTCGTCCAACTCCTGAAAGCACATATTAAATCTTGAATTAATAATATCAAGCTTAATCTTAATAATATTAAGCATAGCACACACAATCACATGATAATATACATTTGTACACTTACATCATGTACATTATCTGGAGATAATTTTCCCTTTACCACACGTATAATAAATTTAACAGTAGCAAACAAAATCGTTAGCAGGACAAACACCATAAAAGCTGCAAATATTGCTGGAAGAAAAATGATCATTGACATCAACTCCAGAAATTAAGACTAATAGCAAATTCAATTGGATTGCATTATTGTGCACTAGTAAACGTTAAAGCCATCGTGAACGAATTAAATATAAAGATAAAAATATGACAAAGAAATACGATGTGACATAAAGATGTTTAATATAAATATAGAAACCACATAATCCTTATTATACCTTAATGCTTTATGCTGTTTGGTAAAATATAAATTTTAGAATTCGAAATATTTGCATTTCATTTTTAGATTCAGATTAAATTAGTGTACAATGGTTTTAATTATGCACTAGTGCTCTTTAGTGCATTTTCAATCAAATTAACTATTAAAAAAACTGATGTAAATTTTTTAGGCTTACGAAGATAACTGTTAATAGGTTCACGAATGGTATAAATGTCCGAGCAAAGCTGCTCCGCAGAAATATTCCATCCGTAACTTCCATGTTCTTTAAAATCATATGTTGTGCTGTAAACAGACGAGTTACAGTATAATAATTGTATACTTTTATATATTAGTAAAAGATGTGATAAATAAGATGATCATAGAACTTGTATGTTCTGTTACTTACTGACAAAGTTCAGCTTTATCTTTGTAAAAAATGTGCAAGGGAAATTTCGTAGATACGACTAACGTGGTATTTTCTCCTGCTGGTAAAATAGCCCTTGGAACATCTTTGCACTACAAAAGCAAAGGATAATATTGTTAACCGTTTAAATAAAAAAATTAATGTTTCATTCAAACTCAATAGTTTTATTTTATCAAGTACGTACCAGATAGCAATCCGCTGAATGAGAAAACAATGTAACAGATCTATTATATTCGTTCAGAATGCTAAAACACGCTTTATCTATTCCAAGCGTTGCATTAGCATCGAGACAAGGATTCACTGCAACGTGCTTCATAACAGACATTTTGCTGTGATCACAGTTGCTTCATTAAAATTAAGATTTCCTCTAGTATAAGTACCACTGAAAAATGAATAAATATATATACAAAGTCTGACAATGAAGTTTTTGGACTGCAGCAATAAAAAGATAATAAAATGTTATATTTCATCTTTCAAAGTAATCTCCAATTGACATCAATACATTTCCTACATCTAACAAAGTCTGAAAACATTTTTTAAGGTAATAATTAGAGTGTTATTCAGAACACTCATCATATTTCTTTAAATATCCTTGACGTCTTGAAAATGCTTTCATCATATTTTTAAGCTATGGAAATATGAAATCTGAGAAGTCAAATCTAATTAATTAGGTAGCTCATCTCAATAATCTCTATAGCTACAAACTGTTTTATGATTTCCCTACACTCAGGAATGTTGTCATGCAATTTTCTTGGCCAAGAAAAAATTGTTGAGAATAGTCGTCACACCACCTTATTCATCGGATCTGATCTTTTCAGATTTCATGCTATTTTCAAAGCTGAAAAACATGACAAAAGGTAAACATTTTCAAGACGGACATTTAAAAAAATATAACGCTTTGAATAATATTCTAACAATAAACTTTAAAAACAGTTTTGAGTGTTTTTATATCAAAGATGTGTGAAGTATATTGATATCATAAGGGACTACTTTGAAAGATAAAATATACAATGTTTTATTATCTAACAATGAAATGTCTGTTTTCTTATTGCTCTGGGAACTTTATTGTCAGATTACAGCTGTTTCAAAATTCACTGCCAGTGCAAAAAATCTATAGTTTACATTACGTGCACTAATTGTCGGCACAGGTAGTGAATTTTGAAACATAACCTATATAAAACTCAACAAAAAAGAACAGCAAATAGATATAACTGGCATGATATTGAAGATCTGTTTTCTGTATTTATGTTACATCACCTTTTGCACTTAAAACAAGCTCGATATAACTAACTACAACATTATCTAGATATAATGCTTCCGACACAAAATAGGAAGATAATGCGCAATTTACAGGATGCTTTAAATTGCGTTTCGTCACATTGCGAAACATTAATAATCGTTTACTATACCTGTATATACATGGCAGCTAATACAATAAGAACACGGCTGGATGCACAAAGCACGGATATGATCAGAATATCTGGCTACCACGGAACAAAACAATGGGAATGAGATTGCAATTGGTACCAGTTCTATTTCGGACTCTTGTCACGGTTAAGAGACCGTAGTTCTACTAAAAAAAAAGGCTTGTTTTTGCTTATCACCTTTCTGTAAAGAGGAAAAACCAAAAAACTTAGGTCACTAGTAGAAGACATGAGGAAAAACCTAGCCAGCTAGAATACATTATACATTTATAACTATGACGAAACTCTTGTGTTGGAGTATTCTAATGGCTGTTCTACAATGTGCTTTTTGTTTCCTGTTTTCCTCTTGTCTTCTTGATTAAAAAGGTAAGAGACAAACAGCAAGAAACAGGAAACAAAAAGCACATTGTAGAACAGTCATAAATGGGGGAGAAAGACACTCAAAATCTTTCAGTTGGAAGTGGACCGACCAACCAACAAGAAAAAATACATAATGACAGGACAGAACTGATTGCAGACGCAACTTACAATTTTTCGGTTAGAAACAATTCCAAGAAAAATTATACTGACACTCGTCACTTGTCACTTTCCGTATAAAACATACACCGTTCTTCTTCTTGATTTTTAATTGGCTTTTGGTTCTGCAATAGATACCGTGGTAGCTCCGCGCGAACACGTCATAGGCCATAATTCATGTTGGGCATGGTCGGCAACCAATTGCGTTCGACTTTTAGCCACATGCGGCCGCGGGACTTTCTGAAATGCAGCGCGTTTAACGATTTATTGCTTAGGAATGACTTTGGATGCGATCTACTTCACGCTGCAAATTTAAAGCATCCTTTGATTGATCAATTCGTAAAATTCGTTCTTTTGATTGGTCAACGAAATATTTGCAGTGTTAAGTGGATTACACCCTTTGATTAAATGATTCTGCTTAATAATTTTTCAAGCGACAATTCTAATATTTTAATAATACAAGTATTATAATTTTTTTTTTATTAAAAAGAAAAATTGGATTAATTAGGGGCAATATTTTATATATGTAGAATAGAGAATTAGCTAACTTTTATCATAAAAGTGATTTAATTGAATTGTAAGGGTAGGAATTTGAAAAATAATCAAAAAATTTTTTAATCTCTTAAAAAAAATTTTCTACGAAAGTTCTCAAAAATAAAGAAACATACTAAAACTGTACGATTTTTGTAAGTATATAAAATAGACTGTATTTAGATTATAAAATGTTGACAAAAAAGATTAAGCATAAATAAAGGCTGTGTTCCATAAAGAACATTATTCTTGTATTCGGTAAACGACAAGGATAAAATGATATATCAGGTGCATTGTGTTTTACGAAGCACACGGCTAAAATTAAATGATGACAAACTATATATAACAATCCTACATAATAAATAATAATATTTTATATTGTGTTAGACGGTCTACTCAAGTTTTTGTAAAAATTTTGTGTTGAATTTTCAACATATTCGAGTGTTAATTTAACATATATTATATATTATATCAACTAAATAATATTTAACATAATAAATATGATTTATGTTAAATATTATGTTATTTACAAATTTTGTGTTAAATTGATATTCAATATTTCGTAGTGTCAAAATAACACAATTTTTACGAATGACCAAATAAAAATAATTTAATATTTTTACATAATATTTGTATTACTTTCTAACATGCATATTCATCTTTCGTTAAATTAACACAAAAATTTGAGCGGATTATTTAGGACAATGTGATCAATTTAATACAAATTGTCCAACTGTGTATTGTTTACGACAGCGACCTTTCCAAGGTTCCCGATTACTGCGCTTCGCAACCACGAACATCCTGCGATGTGACGTATAAAGTTCCTGCGGTTTCGTGAATAAACATCACGTTTCTATTAGCCGCTTGCGACGGATAGCGGATAACAATCAAACGTGATAAGGTCCGATAAGTCGGCCGTCTGGTAGGAGTTCGATAATTATATACGAATGGTATCTGAGGCTTATCAGTCGAGATTGACCACAGTCGTTTCTCTGACGCGATTCGGACGTACCTATTCGCGAAACCTTTGACACATACAAGGACCTCATCCTGCTCGTAGTGATCTCAAGGTGTTTTAGGAATTTCTCTTTCGACGCATTATGGAACCCTCGGCTATTGACGAAGCTGAGTCTACTGACGCTGAGGTACCGCAGGTAAAAATTATGCGAGCATAAAGGAATAGGGAAGAAGATTTTCTGGTTTTTTCACAACTATGACCTCTATTCTTTGAAAAGAAACATATATGAAAAACCTGTATATATGCAACGTGTGTATATACATACATAGTATTTTCTTAGTATTTTGTACATTTCTTTTCAAGAATTATAGAAGCCCTAGTTGTGGAAAAGCACACACACACACAAACAAAATCTATCGTACATTTAAATACCCTTAATTTAAGGCGCTGAAAACTGCGCGTGAGGAAAACAGCCCTGCAAAATTAATTGATAAAATTATTTTTTATATACTCATACTATTAATTGCAAGCATGTGTAAAATAATTACTTCGAAATAATTTTACATTAATATGCAGCATTATGCAGCATTTTACTACCAGACATATCAATTTTGAAATAATGGGTCAAGAAAATATAAATATAGCTAATAATTATTTAAATTTCTACTTTAATCGCGCTGAATTTTCAATACAATTATATTAAATAATTAAAAGTCCTTAATCAAAATAAAATATTTCTATTAGCAAATATTTTGTAATATTTCTTTTCAATATTAATTATTTAAAATCAACAGTTGAAGAAATAATTTTGTAACGTATCTATTAGGCTAATACTACAATGTGCTTTTTGTTTCCTGTTTCTTGCTGTGTCTCTGTTTGTCTCTTGCCTTTTTGATCAAGAAGGCAAGAGACAAACAGCAAGAAATAGGAAACAAAAAGCACATTGTAGAATTAGCCTTAGCCTTTACGGTATGCTGAGCTTCATATGTTCATTATCTCGATTCTCTCGATTAAAATTCAATGTAATACAATGTGTAAAAAATCGTTTTTGTATATTACTAACAATTTATAATACAAAAGAACTTTTTTTTTACATATCTCTTAAATTTTATCCATTTAAAACACAAAGGCACGTTTTCCTTTGTTCGCATTTTTTTTCTTCTTCTGCGTTATATTTCAAAACAATTACCCTGAATCAAATTTATGAGTAAACTCCCTTTTAATGTTTTTTGTACACAGAAAATTCATACTGATTTTTAAAAAATTACCAGTAGAAAATAACAAAAGAAGTGAGTCACTCTATATAAATTTAAATACATAGAATATAAGTATCAATACTTGTGTCAATGACAATCTGAATCATTGATAACGGTCGCTTGTTTCACTATCACTTGGAGAAATTTTTATTCTCTAATCTGTTAGAAAAGGATGACTAACTTATGCCCATTTCCACCAACGTAAATTAACTTTTAATCTCGGTCCAATTTACTCTTTGTCTTTTTTTAATCTTTAAAATTAGAAAAAGACGAAGAATAAATCGAACTGAGATTAAAATTAATCTAGATTGGTGGAAACGGACATAAATTAGCATTAGTAGCTCAAACATACTGCGATACTTGTGGCCTTTGTTGCATCGATAGCTTCTGTTATCCTGATTTTATCATCGATCACTGCTTTATTTACAGATTGTTCTGATGATAGATAGATAAAAGAGATTTTGTAAATGTGTGTGATTTAATATCAATATTAATATTATCAAGATCAATATTAATATTAATAGCTGTCGATGTAAAATTTTCTTCTAATAAAACAAGCATGCGATTCTCTTGGTTAATATTTTCTCGATGTATATACTGTTATTAATAAATTCAGTATATATATAATATCGTCGTTAAAACTAACGATAACATAATAAATGTATTTGTCGATTTCTAAAATAGTAGTATAAATTTTAGATTTAACTAAATATTTTTATAAGCAGAATGATAGAAGAATTTATTTATATAAAATTAGACAGTTTCATGTAAAACAATAAAGACAACTCTTGAAATATCTAACGTGGTTCTAAAAGTAAGTAGAGATTTCTATTTTTGTAATTTGAATAATTTTTTATATATTTTAAAAAAAATTATCTTTTTCGCAAAAACGAAAATAATAATAATAATAATCATATATATGAAAATAAAAATAATTATAATTAATTTAAAATTTTATACATATACGTGCAGAGAGATCAAGACAGTAGAAAGACAACGAGAAATTAAATGACCGATATATACACAATTACGATACAGGCTTTATCCATTACATTATATTGATTATAAAATTAAAATGCCGATTAGTTAGTCAGTCTAAGGGCTACCGCAGACAAAATTTCGTAATGTAAGGCGTAAACTTAAGCTGATGACTCTGGTAGCAAGCTGACAATATCATTTTGTGGTTATTTTGGCAAAATGAGTTCACTATCAGGGGGGCCAATTAGGATATTGCTTTAGATCTGCGTAATCTAATAGAAATAGAAGCAGTAAACTTATCCATAAGGCAAATTTCAACCGGTTGAAGTTTGTCTTATAGATAAATTTATTGTTTTATTTTTATTTCTGTTAGATTACGTAGATCTAAAGTAATATCCTTATCGGCTTAAGTTTACGTCTTATGGTTACTGTTACAAAAATTTTGTCTACGGTATAACCTTAAAATGGCTAGAACGGTGTAAGATAACCAAGCTAAAAATAAACTGAAAGCCGGCAAAACCTTTATTTCGAGGAGCCCCTGCTCCGGATAAGCGCTGATGATTGGCTAAACCCAACTGCCATTTCTATGACAAGGGACAAAAATCTTTCCCTTTCTCTCCTCATACATGTGTAACCTGCGTTAGTGTTCGTTGTGCTGTCCTAGGAAATACGTCGCAATTTTGAATATTACAGCCAAACAGATCTGAGGAGAATTCAGTGTTCGGTCATAAATTTTATAAATCTGTGATGTGTAATTTAATTTTTTATACAATAATCGTTACAAACACGATTCATTTTTAATTTTTAAGCCACAAGTTATGAGCATTTGATTGTTAAAGTGAACACGTGTTCACAATCAACGCCGGAGTCATGGATACATTCAAGGAAAGAGTGAAGCAAATCCACATTCTCGATTTTTTAATTGAATTAGGAAAAAGAGAAGAGAAATGCTATGACTTGTTGAAGAAAGTGTTCAAAAATCGCAGTTTAACTCGTGACAACATACATGACTATTTTGTTGAAGTCAATGGAAACGCGAGACGATTCTTTAATATAAAGAAAGAAATTGGGAAGAAAAAGAATAAGGTACTGCATAATTTTTGTGTATTTCAGGAAAAAAAAACACTAGGAATGAACAGTTTAATCAGAAGTAGTTTTTCGTTTTATATTTGGATCTCTTAATTTATTAGCTGTATCATATTTTCTCTTTTATGTATAATGTACTGGTTCGCGTAAAGAAGGCACGTGTCTCCAGATTCTTTAATGTTTCTTTACACAGTGTTATAGAGAGAAATATTCGCAAGTAGGTATTCCATATGATACGGCAGATACAACATAAATCGTATTGCATCTACTAATTACAGTAGTCTTTTGTCTTTTATTGTCTTCTCTCTGTGTATCTCGATATACTTCTGAACGTTAGGCCCTGCGCACAATAGAAGGAATAAGGAACAAAAAATAAACGATTTCAACCTATCAAATATCGGATACATCGGAATACACGGTTTCTGATAGGTTGGAATCCTTATTCCTTCTATTGTGCCCGCACCCATTACTTTTGGGCTGCATTCCAAGACTTTTTCTCCGAGGAAAATTTTACTTGAAATATATAGTACACGTAACTCAATATCATAGCATATTGAGTAAAAAAGAGGAAGTTTTGGAACGTAGCTATGTCTCTCAATCATATAACATAATTAAGATTGAAAAAGTTAAATAATAAGTACCGTTACAAAAAAAAAGTTAACTGATCCTGAAAAGTAACGCGTTACGATAACTTAAAAAATAACGAATCATTATTTTTCTGTTAACTTTTTATAATTTTTGCATTACTATTTTAAATAAAAAATCTCATACGTTTCTAATATTACTAAATTATTTTACTTATTGTACACATTATTTATTATAAACATTCGATTATATGCTATACATTATTTAATAAATTAATATATACTTGGAATTAAAATTATTATAGGATCGATATTAAGACGAGTTTATATACAGGGATGTCCCTGTATAAAAGAATCCTAACTTAATACAAATTATTTAAAAAGTATGGTGTTTATTAGAAACAAAGATATAATTTATATAATCAATAAAAAATAATCACTAATTATTTATTAAATATTTTAAGCCAGCGGCACACGATGCTTACTTCCTTGTTGGATTACTAGCTGGATTAGAATCTTGTTAGCATGGCAGCTCTACGATGGCCAGATTTTAACCCAGCTAGCAATGCAGCAAGAAACAAGCATCGTGTGCCGCCGGCTTTAGTTAGTCCAACGTTGACGAATAAATTTATATATTAAGTAAGGGGCTGCGCACAATGAAAGGAATAAGGAACAGGGAACAGAGAATAAGAATTTTAATCCATCAGAAATCTTGTATTGTGGAATACACAGTTTCTGATAAGCTGAAATTCTTATTCTCTGTTCCCTATTCCTTTCATTGTACGCAGTCCCTAACTGTAAAAGTAACTATTAAATTAGTTACTAGTTGCCAAAAAATGTAACCAGCAATAGGCCTGTTCTTTTTGGCAGAACTTTTGCACCAATTTACCTTTTTTCCTCTTCTTTCCTCTTCTGGAGAGAAAAGATGAATTGGTGCAAAAGTTCAGCCAAAAAGAACAGGCCTAATAAGTTAAGTTACAGTCAGGGACTTAAAGGAATAACGAATAGGAACAGGGTATAACTGATTTTGACCAACCAGAAACGGGTTACATTGGAATACTGGCTTCTGATAGGTTGAAATTTTATTCCGTTTCCTATATCTTTGCTTATGCGCATCTCTTAAAGAAATGTAAAAAATGGTTAATGCCCGTATTTATAGCCAGGCCTTATATCTAAGGCTTCCTTCAGCTATGATAACAATTGTAACCTCCATCTGAAACTTCTTTGTAATTAATATCTCATTGTAGAGTAACATTTGGTACTAAAATGTTGTAAAATATTTTATTTTATTTCTTTGATTTATTAACAAACACTGTCATTCATACATTGTATCTAAGACTTTGTTACGAAGGAGAAAAATTCCCATAATTATTCTTTGATTAACAAAATTAATTGTTTATAACAAATAGAAGTATTAATAAAATTTACCTACCAATGCAATAGATATATTTCATTTTCTTTATTAAATTAATTTGTTTAAGAACAATAAAAAAACTTCCATAACTTTTTAACTAACGATAGATTGTTAACAATAATTACCAAGAGCAGCAAAGTAGTTTGCTGTAACACATTTTTTATCTCTCGAATTATTAACTAATCTAATATGAATATGACTTATTTTAATTCGTTTTTCGCAATTTTTGCCATCTACTTGTTATAGTCGCAAGCATGTAAACAGAAAAGCAATAAAACATTTTGAACAAAGAATTTCAGCAGAGTTCCCTCCATCAATTTACAAACGTTTTGCTCAAACTGTACATTTTTGATAATATTTGTGTGTGTATTTGATATTATTTACATGTAATCTTACTCTCCTTTTTCTCTTCGTTTTTTTTTCTTTTTTTTTATTGTGTTTAGATTTTACTTTGAAAATCGTCTGCTAGTGTTTATTTAGCACGTCTACTATACGATAAAGGAATTTTTAAATAAATATAAGTTAAATTAATACATTAATTTTATTAATTTATCAATATTAAATTTGTATAATAGTTTAAATATTAATAATATTTTAATAAATTAATTTTATAATTCATTAATAAATAAATTAAAATTAATTTTAAACTAGATTAATTAATAAATTAATTTTCAGACGGAGATGAACAACAACATAGGAAATACATCGTCTAACTCATCTAATCTCACTCTCCTAAGAAGGAGATCCAATTCCGCGGTGATTGATTCTATCGGCTTGAAAAAATACTTAAAGGTTTTTACATACCGACGCCGGAGCAAATCTCTAACTTCTACAGATTACTATGTATGTAGACCTGTGATTACGAGGTTCTCGTTTTTCAACGAAAGATATTTTGAATTTATTTTATAATTAACTCTTACCGTACTAATATGGGTAACTAATGATTCCTGTTCGTGCAAGTTTGAGTTTTTCGGTAATTATAAATTGTACTACATTTTATTATTTTCCAAAATGAAGAGTCAATATTTATTCTAGAAAGTTGAAAGTATGTTGGTGAATTTTTATAGATTTTTTGAATTATTTTGAAGAGGTGAAAAAACGAAAAGATTCTAGTGACCCTTGATAGTATGGATGAAGCACCAAATTGTACATAGTACAGTAAAGGTTAATATGACAAAATTATATGAAAGCAAGATATAAATCTTTTACAATGTAAACCGATTGTTTTCTTAGACACAATCAGCTTCTCATTGTATGGATACTTCGTGTATTCCGGGAACATCCCGAGATAATCATACAATAAGAACAATAAGCGATCATGCAACGAATAATAAGCGAGAAGGTGAACAATCCAACAAGAGGGCGAAATCACCTCTATCGACAATCGATGCTATCGGCACGTACGTTATATAAAAAAATGAATGATAAGAAAAAGTCTTATTAACTTAGAGAGACATCATAATTCTGAAACTAAGCAGTACAATTCAATAAATTTTTGTGATAATATTTTAGACCGAGAAGTAATTAAATAAAACGTAAACTAAATAAAAATATTACCATTAAGGTAATATTAATTTGGAGTTAAATAAACTCTCAATTAAACGAGTTTTATATTGAATGTATATAAATACTTCTTTAAAGTTATTACTAAAAATCGTTAAATACTCACAACTGTATACGTTTAATTTCACTGATACTATAGTTACAATCGTTTTCCGACCACAAATATTTCCAGCTGCGTTTTATTCATTAACATCAAAATATATTTTTATATCAAGGATTAGATTTTATATTAAAAAATTTGGAAATTTAATTATACTTTATTTTCCGTTTTATTTTTTTGTTCAGCATCGAACAAAAGCCATTGATAAACAGCCCTTCAGAACTTACTGCATTAATGCCAGTTGAAAAGGATGCAGATTGCTATAACATGAATCACAATAATCGCGGTAAGTGCATAATCTTCAATCACGAAGATTTCTCTCTGTCTACACAAATGAAACGAGAGGGTTCCGCAAAGGATGCAGAAAGATTACAAAAAACTTTTGGAGACCTCGGATTTGACGTTGAACTTCACAATGACTTTAAATTCTCCGAAATACAAAAGGTGCTGAAGAGAGGTAAAAATATTATATATTACGTTTTACATCAATTTATTTTATATTCGTCTTTTTTCAAGTCTTGACTGTGTATTTTACTTAGCGCAAAACTCTAGTGTTGCGTAATATGAATTAACAATTTTAGTAAAGTACTAAAAAATTTAACTAAATAGATACAAATTAAAAATTTTGTTCGGATTATCAAAATAATTGAATCGGTAATCGAAGGGGACAAGTCCAATTTTTTCTCGAAAATTAGTTTTTTTGTTCATTGATCTTGAAATGGCGGATTGATACGCTTTTAGTGCAAATAAGGAACTTATTTTAGGCTTCTAATTCTAACAGCTTAAAGTAGACATTGAAAATAAGTAATAAGTATAGAAAGAGTATGAGACCAGGACTTGCAAGTTTGGAGATTTGACAAAATGGAATACGTGATACATCCTGTTAGAATGTAGCTTTTTAATGAGATTTTTCAAATAACCAGCGACTGAACTTGAAAAGTAGTCAGAATAAGAGATATTTTTAGTCACTATTTTAACTCCAATGTTTTAGAAAAGTTTTATGTAAATTATCCCATGTTGTTTCATATAAAAAAAGACATTATTTTAAATATATATTTTAAATATATAAAGTAGCATCCCGGGAAAAAATGTTATACACCTATATGGACATATTTTATATATAATTATATATAATTGTATATAAAATATGTCAATTTTTTATATAGTTATATATAATTTTATGTAATTATATATAAAATATTTTTTCTCGGGATACTACAAATTTTTTTATTTTTTCGAGTGCAAAAAGAGTATATAAGTCCAATGTTGGATCCCAAGCAGAACAACAAGTCACAATAACGTCAAAATAACATTAAAACAAATCGGAAATAATTGAAAAATTATTTTTAATAATTATTTTGGTGTCATATTTTGATCATAATGGCTTACCGTTCTGCTTAGGGTGTAAAAGGGATGTAAGTTCAAACTTGAAATTTAAGATTTTTATTTAATAGATAAGCATTTCAGAAACTAAAATGTTTCAAAGATATTATTAAATTTCATACTTGATTTCTCAAAAATAATTTTGTTAGTTTTATTACTACACACACACATACACACACAAACACACACGCACGCACGCACACACACACACACAAAACTAAAGTTAAATATAGATGTGTATATAAAGCCTATATAAGTCAGCACTGGATGAATGTTATTATAATTTATTTTAAATATAAATAAATACATAAACGTTTCGATTCTTGATCCTTATCAGTTATACGAATAAGTCACGTGTTATAATTTGCACCTGTTCATCCAGTACTGGCTCATATAGGCTTTATATACACATTTATAGATTAATTCATTTGGGTCTGTATTAAGAGCTTTTTAATATTAAATTTAAATAGTTTTTTGTTAATACTGAAAAATTTGATGTCTATTTTGCTTTCTGCACTCACCAACTCAATTACGTAGGACTTTTACAACATCGTCATCAACTTAAGCGTTTTACATAATTATTTTAATAATAAATAAAATTATAATAATAAACTAAAATTATTGTCACATTCGTAGTCAGCTAAATTTTTAGTAAAATGCTTTAGTAAAACTATTCTTTCTATGTATGTGTATTTATTTAATTCAACTTTCGCACGATTGTATTTACATGTAACAGTGAGTCAGCTCGACCATACGGATAATGATTGCCTCTGTGTCATTACATTAACCCATGGTGTGAAGAAGGACATAATATGCGCGAACGATGTCATGTACGAATCCAATGAGCTTTGGAAGCCTTTTGCTGCTGACAAATGTTTGACGCTTGCAGGCAAACCTAAGCTGTTTTTTATCCAAGTAAACCAACTAAAACTAATGTTTTTGAGTCTTGTTCTATTTTAAAATTATCGACGTATTCCGATATGTTTCCGCTTTGTCATTATTTTGTCCTGCTTGTCTAGCTCGTCTATATATAACTTTTTGTTTAGGCTTGTAGAGGCGATGAATCCGATGATGGTATTCAACTGATAGCCCCTCGATCTTTAAAAGGAACGGAAACTGATAGCGCTTATACAAGTTATTCTATTCCAATTCACGCGGATTTTCTGTTAGCTCACAGCTCAATTGAAGGTAAGTGTCAATTAATTATATTTAATATTTCTTTTATTAAAGAAACTGTTACAATACTTATTTTTTAATTCTATTATTTCATAAAAACATATTACAATTGTACCGTTAAAAAGGGCTAAGAGTTAATACGCAGCTAATCATTTTTTTTAACAAAATATTGCATAAATTGGATTTATTTCTTTTCAAGATTTTAAATGCGATATGCAAAAAACGCATATAATATGTACAATAAATTTAACTAGATATAAAAATCTTAGCACACTCTTAATAACTAACTATAAAATAAATTATTTTAATCACATTATATGTACATACATATAAAGGAATAAAAAGTGATGTAAGTCACTTTTTAAACCTATTGAGTATTTTACATGATTTAAAATCAAACGTAGTGAAGTTCCGCTGTATTTAAAAGAATGATTTATATTATATTGGTTATGGCATTTACTTAAGGCATAAAACTTAATATTATTTTTTTATGATAATTTAATCTGTTAGATAAGTCTGGATTTGCGATTCTGAACAGTTTTTCTGGAGAATAAATAATCTTTTAGTATAGCTAAAAAGGGTCACTGAAAATAACATAACAAAAGAGGGGATATTATTGATAAATCAATGAATTAATATAAATAAATACGTTCAACGTAATTCTCTGTTATTTCAAGGTTTTTATACCTGGAGGAGTCCCTATGAAGGAACATGGTATATACAGTCCTTATGCGACATCTTAGACGAACATGGAACAACAATGGATTTGATGAAAATGTTGACTTTAACAGCGCGAAAGGTTGCCACAGAATTTTCCTCCTCCAATCCCGAGTATAGAACTTTACACAACAAGAGACAGGTGCCATCAGTAACGACGATGCTGATCAGATCTGTTTATTTTCCACCAAAATTGAAGAAATAATTTTGCAGAGAAATTGCAAGAAATTTTCAAAAAGGACAGAAAAAATTGATAGGCTGAGCCTGTATTTGTAAATGAATATAGCATTTCTTAAATTACTTTAATTATTAAATAATTAAGTAACAGCAATTATTCTAGATAGAACAATAGAATAAAAAATCTGGATACGGTGTTCGCAAAAAAATTAGAAAAGTGAAATATCTTTTAAAAGACTGAAAACAAGAATGCATTTATATTCATGCTTTAAAGATATATATATATATATCTTTATTTAAATATTAGGAAGATATTCTGATAATGTTATGACGCGAAAATTACAGTTAAAAACTGTAATGCTTTTTAGAATAGATCTATTTACATTCACAGATTTCCAAAAATCAGTGTTTGAATCTGTCTTATACATTACTTCTGTATGGGCGTACTCTAAATTTTAGTCGAGAGAGGGGCAATAATTTTTTTACACAAAACTATTTTTATTGAAATACTTATTTCAAGGTTCTTTTGAGAACTTCCTTATGAATAACGTGTGAGTGACGAATTAAGCAATGAGTGTTGAACTTTTTATCGTAAAAATGATTTTCAGAACTGTTTCTTCTCATCAGAATTTCGAGGGAGTAAGTGCTCCTCCTTTTCACCTCCTTGCATACGCCCATGGATTATTTCATGATATTGTCTTTATTTTAAATGCAAAATGCACTATTTTTATTTTATATATACATATATGTTGAACTTATGATCTCTTATATTTCTTATTAGTATATACGTTTAATAATACAAAATAATTAATACAATGCGTTTTATATTATAATCTAATTCTATATAAGTTCGACTTTATTATTGTAATTCCTTCCAACAATAATGTTGTTTTCATTTTCTACATATATGAAAACATTATTTTTATGTTGGATATATATAATTGTATGTGATATATATACATATATATATGTATACATATCACAAGTATACAAATATACGTATATACTCTATAATAATAGAATAAAGTTAAAATAAGTTGTTCGTATATTATAATAGTTACAAGTTTACTACAAATGGGAAAATTAAAAAAAAATGTAACTTAGTAACCTAATTTCTTATAATACTTTACAAATAAGTCTTTATACTTTAATAAATAGATAATGACTAAGTTTCTATCGTTTCTATCATTGACGCTTATATTTAGCAAATAATGTAATTACTAATTATTGTATAATATTAACTACATTCAGAAGACAAAATCAATCGGCGAGCACTCAATTTTCTTTATTACGATTGGTTTGTAGCTTTAGATCCAACAAAGAACTAAAAGCAATAATCAATTATATCAAAGAATCATTGAACGGCTTTATCTTCTGAATGCAATAATTATCGCTTATGTTGTGACGTCTTTTGATCACTCGTTGTAAGGATGATAAGACTTGAATGCAAGAATGATACTAGAATTACATATTTTTTTAATTCGGGAGAGAGCATTTCCACAATTACGCTACTGATCTCTTTGCGCAATTCTTTTTTTAATTAGGATTGAGAGAATTTTTAAGGGTTGCGAGTTTAAAAAAACCTCGTTTGTTGTCTCTGAAAACCTCTCTCGACACTTTTCGTTCTTTCTCGTAATTGTTTGCGTTTGCACTGATCCATTGCAACATATATTTATCCAACCCTTCCTGTGACTGATTTCTTCTTTTTCCTTTTTCGTGTCTTTCCCTTTCCTTCGTCTGACCAAATACCTATCTCGTCAGGATGCCATTCGACGCCCCCCGACATTTAATTAAACGTCGACCGCCTACGGTCGAAAACGATACAGCTTGTTCAACGCACGAAAACGACATTGTTCCCCATTCGCCGATCACGCGCCACCGCAACATCGTTAACGCGTTCGTCATTGACTTAAACCGCTATCGTTATCCACGCAATTACCTCCCGTTCCCCGTGAAAGATGGGACGAGTTAAAAGAAATTTAACATTGTTTCGTAGACTTCTAATTTATAAATTTTCAATTTTTGAAAGATTAGAGAGAGATTAATTTAACCCGTTAACAAATATGAGTAGATTCGAAACATCCTGCACGTTTGCACAAGTTCAGAAATATTTTCTGTCTTTTGTCGATATTTTTCAATCTACCTGTTTTTTGCAAATTGAATTTCAGCTAAGACTAAGAAAGTTCTAGCTGCATTATTGATGAAAGCACGTAGAAGTTGATATATCGACGTTGACGCCGCGACAAACGCATCAGTCGCACCCTCTATAACAGACAACCCCTTGTCAAGCTGTGACCCGAGGAGCAGGGTCATGGTGCGTCTTCAAGGTGGCCTGGTAATTACATCAATTAGCTTTGCAAGAGCGCATTTAAGAACGGATCAGATATTACCGCAAAGCTTCGCATGAAATGAGAGTTAATTCTATCGTAGGCAATTGAGAATTAGTGCATAGCAGATACGATTTAATCAGGTAGTTAGATGAAACGTCTGATATTTTAATGTGACTTTTAATATGATTCCTTCAGCGTCTGCATAATTGCACGTTACTGACGTAGTAAAATCGCTTTCATTGCCTACGTTTATTTCCCGTTTTGAAAGCCAAGAGATTGATCAAGATTGTAATGAAAACCTGGGAAGATCAGTCAATATATATAATAATCTATAAGCTGTAAATAGTTACATGAAGAAAAGTTATCATAATTAGCATTGAATTAATGTATTTCTTGAGATGGTTATTATTGGAGTAGCTGCTGAAAAAAATGACGATTTTCAGAAGACTTTGAGATATGTCTCCGGAATCAAGCGAGACAGCGAGGAAGTTGTGTGTCAATTGGGATTTCAAATAAGCGGTGAAGACAACGGGATCATAGTTGAACCTCCAGAGGACTCTGGACCATGCATTCGGAAACTAGGAATGAAACAGGATGAGGGTGGCGACAAGCGGGGGTGAGGGTCGGCCGCGGAGGGAGCCTAAGGACCAGGAGTTTGCGCGAACAGATCAATACGGGGTCTGTCCCCCGCACATGAACATGTCTCTTACCCGCTCTTTCTCACTCCCTCCCCCCCCTCTCTCTCTCTCACTGTTTTCATCTCGCGCCGCTCCTCTATCTTTCTCTCTTTCTACTCTTTTTGTGTATTTTTGTATTTTATCTGTTTTCCTCTCACATGAATTGTCTCCGATGTGAGATTATATTTTAATTCTCGATTACTTCCATTCGCTGTACTCGCCATTCTTTTTATACCTTTTTACGTTTGCTTTAGCTCTCTTTCTTTCTGTGACGTAATAATATCTGACGTAGTAATAATGACTATAGGAAGGATCTCTTACGTAATCTAGGGTTTTTAAAATAAATTTCTTTGTATTTAAATTAATTTAGCTCTCTATATTTAAGATCATCGATTCATCCATGTCTCTTTCTCCTTCCTAATCTGCGATCCTTACAATCCTCCTATCTGAGAGCTACTCCCTTTTGCTCTAACCCACATTCTCCGTGTCTTCTATTAATATTCTCGCTCAATTGAATATCTTGAAGACTCTGTCTGCCATAAGCTCAACATATCCTATTCGTTCTAAGTAGATATCCTTGGATTCATCCCTCACGCTCGAAAATATCTTTTCCTATCATCGCCTACTGATATAATTTTTTTTTTTCAAGCGTCTGTAAAATCCATCCAATCGCTGCTCTACTCTATGATACTTCGCGGCCTCGTAGCATTGACACTGTATCGTTTATCACATTGAAACATTGACCCGTTCCGCGTGACTGTTTTTCTCTACTTTTACCAATTTTTCCTCCATCGTCTCTCGTCCTTATATTGCTTCTCTTCTTACATAGATCTCTCTCCTACTCTGCTACGAGCTTATATTTCTCTCTTGCCCGTCTCTTCCCTTCTATTATATAGCTCCTAGTTGGATCAGTTCTTCCTCTCTTTCGCTCGCTCGCTCTTTATTCATGTACATGGTGTTCTAGAATTATCATTATTACCTTCAATCACTTCAATAAGCTGAAATAGACAAAAGTTTTATCGCCCATCATGTTCGTGCTTGATCGTTTCTTTGATACTCGATGTTAAATTAATTTTTCCATCAAATCTGTCAAAAATTTTGTCAATCCAAGTAATTTGGTCCATGTATCCTACATGCTGAAGTAGATCGATAAAATTTCTTGGATTTCCTACTTTCAATATTTGTCTGAAGAAGGTCAATCGCTTCTTCAGACATTATGAGAAGTGAAAGAAGTTTTTCGCATTTCCAACGTGTCTTCTCATCGGAAGATCACCCATCTTCCAGTTGCACCACCCTATACGTTCGTACGTTGCGCGCGCGCGCGACCGGCGCTCCGTCCTTGTCCGTGACGCGCGCGCTACCCCCAGCAAGGTGGTGGCGGTCCAGCGTGTTAGCCGTGCGGGATGCTGAATTCGTAGAAGAGATTCAGTCGTATTGCCTGGGCTCTCTCTGTCGCACGGCTAACGCCCGGACGGAGTGTGCGAGGCTGCATCCTCGTGCTGCAAGAGGAGCCCCGATTTCCTCCCTCGGCGAGAGCTCTTCGTCGCGGCGAAAAGGAAATCGAGACGCACACGGTGGGATGGATACGTCCGCGTGAAAGGGATGCGCTACGTGATTTTGCAGGGGTAGCCGGTGGTAAGTAGTACGACTCCGAATTTTCACTCCCCTCTCTTTCTGTCTTTCTCTCTTTTTCTCCTTCTCTCGTTTGCTCAGCTCTACCCTGTCTGATGCTATGCCTGAACTTTAATCAGGCACGTACACCTGTATAATTCCTGAAAATTCGATTTTGAATGCTACGCATATAGGACAATTCAGATTATGAATCGTAACTGTTCAGCTCTTGTCTTTTTCTCTCCAAGGCTATGTTTAGATTTTCACCTAAGTGTCTCCCAGGTATCATTCGATCCTTAACATTCGATAATCAGCATGGATAAAATGATATCTGGGTGATGGAAATCTGAACATTAGACAATGTGAAAAGAAAAAGAAGAAAGATAAACCGTGCAAAAAGTTCAATTCTGGAGTATGGAAAAAGAATATATCTTATATATCTCTTCCTATGAAAGATATGGATAACGTTTCAAATAAAAATGTTAATTAAAATAATATTGTAAGCAAACTAAACACATGCTTTATGTCTTTTCCAATGATTTTCGAGCTATCAATATTAATAACTCCTTTTCATCGTAATTCTACATTGTTTCAATTACTTAAAATTGGGCGTAGACGTTTCAGATAGTTATAAAAACTGAAACCAATTCATTCGCTTTTTCCTTACATTCCATTAAAAATAAAAGGAATGAATTCTTTAATCTGACACTTTGTCCAATATATTGTTCTTACTCTCTGAATTCTTTCAACGGAATCTCACTTTAAAGAGTGGAAATTGAGCCAGTCTTGAAAAAGGGTAGCTCAGTTTTCAATCTTTTGAGAGTAAGATTTCACTCTTCGGAATGAGAGAGATTTGCTCTAAAAGTTTAAAAGATTAGAGGAATGTTTTCTGAAACTATCGCTACTGTTAAATCTGCAGGGATACAACACACATCGTTATGAAGAAAGTTCGACGCTATCACTCACGTTATTGCACATTGCATTATTCAGAGAGATCGTTTGAAAGAGGTACAAGACTGCAATTAGGTGTCTTCCTCTTTTACGTTTATCTTGGAAAATAAAATCGAAAAATAAAGCGCGGATCGATTTGCGGCTACTTGGCGTTTGCGATGGTAAGACGTTGACTAGCACGGAAAGTTGGCAACGAACAGCCCGGTTTTCGTGTTCAAAGATAAACCGTGTGCGCTGATTTTACTCGCGTCGAGAGCGAGCCAAGTGCACTTCGGCTTAGACGAATCATTGTTTCTCTCTGGTTCTCGCTGGTTTTTACGGAAGCTTCACGGAATATTGCTAGCAATTTAGGAGCGATCAATCTCTCGAACCTGGTACAATGTGTTTGTTCCTAACGTAGCTTTTTTTTTATTTTTGCCGAAACTTCGCTTCTAATTTTATAACGCACGTATTGTTAACGGCGGTGATACATTGAATTTTTGCTCAGTTCAATGATCATATTATGTCATCGCATTGCGCTACACGCTTTTGTATTCAATGGTTTTACATTTGTTGAATAATAATTAACGCCGTTAGCGTTTCATGAAAATGGGCTTAAATAAATTTTGTATATCTAATTTCAAAAGCTAAAGAGATGCATTTAGCATTAATTTGAAACTTGAAGCTATCAATGTATATTGAAAGGTACATGATGCCTTGTCAGTTGTTAACAAGTACGATAAAATTAGGCGATTATAAAAATTTAATCGAATTTTCGATCATTGTCTCTACTTTCATTAAATCGAGATAACACAATTAGAGATATTTATGTCTCTTGTATTGTTGGAGAGATGAAATCGCAGCTGTCATTTGAATGCAGAAATATTTTGCCTTGACGGATATATTAAAGCTGAAATAATACTTGAAGATGATGGTGAATAATACTTAAAGACAAGCTACGTTTATAGCATGATATATTATTTGTCATGGCTCACGAATTTTAATGTTTTAAGAAGCAATGTCGTTTTTTGTGTGTAAATATTTAGTAGTAAATCAGTCATAAAAATTCTATTAGAAATTAACAGTATATTATTAAAAAGAGAAAAGAACAGAGAGATTATCTGTAACTAATAATTAATCTATAATTAATAATTGTCTATTTAACAAAATCAAAGTTGCATATCTTTGTCACGTATTATTATGTTAGAAAATTATCCGCTATTGAATTTAGACTTATACTAATTCCAATATAACCAATTCTATAAATTTTAAAGCTAATTGGAAAATTCTTTTAATTGCGATAGAAGAATTTGAATTTAATTCTCTCGAATAATTCTCTCAATATAATATCATTTTCTCGCAAAAAAATTTCTCCGAAAAAGATCTCGAGAGAAATGAGCTATGAAATATTCGAAAACTGAGATTTTAAATTTAAAATGCTTTGCTAAACATTTCTCTGCAATCATTTTTCCAAGCAAAAATATATAACTTTGAATTTGGTCCTTTTTACGCTGATTTTAAACGATGTTTTAATTTTGTCGAAAAGTTATCTAAATAATTGAGTAAATTATTACAAATTTTTCGATCCTCAATGTAACAGCAGATTGAATTTCTATACTTAATGTAAAACAATAATTTTTTGTTCGCTATTTTTAAACATCTATCGTGGTAGAATCAATATGATAGTTCACGTATTTCATTTCAGTTTCGTTTATATTTCCACCCCGTTACCTCGACAACCTTTATATCCTTTTCGAGAGGCTCTTCCATGATATAGCAAATATAATCTCTCTCTCTCTCTCTCTCTCTCTCTCTCTCTCTCTCTCTCTCTCTCTCTCTCTCTCTCTCTCTCTTTCCCCCCTCCCACCCTATCCACTTCTTCCCCTTTATAACCGGCTGTGATGATCTCAATTGGGAATATCCTGTTGAAAAATTCTTCCACGATTGTTCAGCCTTGAAAGACGCTTTTGCATAAAATTATCGTCGGTCGCCTCTCACATCTTTTTCCTCGCTTTCCCTCACCCTTTTGAAGGCTGCTTACCCTTCATCACGACCAAGCATGTATTAGCTTATTCTTCTATTTTTGCGTCAGTGAGATAATGAGATCATAGGCATGAGCACATTATCGACAAAAGATTACTTCCTACCACGAAGAAGTAAATTTACTCGCCATCGACATCGCGTTTTTAAAGCGAGATAACTGCATTTGTCGGATGCTAAATAAAAAAAATTGAAATTTAATCTGATGTTGATCGTTCTTATCGAAACACTTAATCCAAAGCCATTTTTGATAAGTTTTTATGCTCTACATTAAATATTTTTGTAACTTAACTGTTTGAATGAGCAGCGTAATCGCACATTGCTCATTTTTCATATACCAATAACAAGTTCAGCAGCATAAATGTGCTGATAATACGCTCAGCTTCTATCACAATTCTTGATAATTGAAGTGTTTTCATTCAATTAAAAAAAAAAACGAATTAAAAAGTGTAAGTTTTCGATATAAAGAACAGGAAAAAGACGAACGCGCTGATTGGCACTTTCTGCATAAATTTTTATGATTCCTTCGGCAATTTAAACTGTTAAATCAGAAACTCACATTAATTTATTAAATATACGTAACCGCAAATAAAAAACAAGCAACTTTTTCGCAACTCACTTTTATCTTTAAAGCTTAATTTGCAAATAACTTTTTGTTTTAGATTATTTATAACGCGTAAGAATAATTATATATATATATATATATATATATATATAACGGTATATTTTTGTTAGATAAAATATTAAATCTAAAAAATTTTAATAAAAAGAAATACAAAAGCAGGTAAATTGAGAAAAAATATTCCCTTGAATTCAAGAGAATATTTTTTCTCAATTTACCTGCTTTTGTATTTCTTTTTATTAAAATTTTTTGCTCATTAAATTAATTTTCCCTGTCAGATTTTGGAATGGAAATGTCGCTGCAATCAGACATGTTTATCGATTATTGAAGTTTAAGTATATAACATAAAAGCGGTATGTATCTCTTTATAGCATGGATGTTAAATAGATCATCAATTGACGCGGTTGTATTCTAAAACTGTCCACGTGTAAGCGCGTAACGTAAAAGCGCACTTTAAAGGCGTGTTTTAAAAGAGACGTGCCGATAGTTTTCCAACTGCGAGAAACAAACGTACCTCTCATTCTCCCATATATACGTGGCCATGCAAAACTTTAATAATTTAATCTCCAAACGGTTTTTATATGCACCAGAATTGTAAAAGCATCCGACGACGTGCGCGTTCCTATTTAATTCGGTTCAAACGGTTTGCGACAATACTGTCTGAATTTTGCACAAAAATTTCGCATCGAGGGAAACGTCAGCGATATCTCACATAAAGGCTGACATCGATCCCTCGACATTTCATACTTTCGTTCGTGCATTTGCGCTAGAGATAGCATATCTGTAAATATCGTGAACGATATTATCTCTTTCTCTCGGTCTTTGCTCCTTCCTTCCCTTCTCATTACTCATTGAGCGAGCTTATTTCCGCGTGCATTTGTACGTACATGCGTGCGCGTACACGTTAATCCGTCATGTGTGCGTGCACTTGAGTCTCTATTCGTCACGTTCAGCTTCTCGCCCTTCTTGGTCCAAAGAACACCGTCTCGCGCAAGTTAATAATGCAGAACCGTTATGGAATTCGACTGAACTTTATATACGTGACTCGGTGCACCGCGTTCGCCCGGGTCACGACCCTCCACGACCCATCCTGTCCGATATCTGGGGCACACTTGAATTTTAAACCGCGTTATACTATTGCCGTCGCGCTCGATTAGCTTTTTCACGAGAGAGCGACGGGCTGTCTCGGCGCAGACTCCCACGAAATGTGCTCAATAGTAAATGTCAACCTGTATGTCATCGGTCACGGAGTTATCGTGCACGGCTAAAAGAGCTCTCGATATTGGAGAAAAGAGTAGCTCAGCATCATACAATCTTTCTTTCGTAGAAAGAATTCATATTAATCATTCTATAACATCTGTCCTGAAAGAACGGACTGCTGTATTCCCGAGTAGCAGAGTGGCATTAAAGACAATATATTCAAGGTGTCCCGTAAGTTTTTACTAACCGCTTTTGTATAGACAGGGCGGACTAAACTGAGTCAAAAAGTCCTCTACCATTTTGATGATATTTTGATGATTGAGATATTAATTATTAAAAATTGCTGAAAATTGATTTTCAATAACATTTTACTCAAATACTATCAACTTTACAGAAAAATAGCGAGAGACAAAAATTGTTTATTTTCATTTTATAAAGTTCTGAGAATTTTTCCAGAATTTTTTCAGAATTTTTTAATGTTGGTAAAAGTATTTTCTCATGTTGGTAAAAATAAGAAAATGCAATACTAAAAGGTTGATAAAAAATTCTTATAGTTCCATGAGAAGAAAATAAATGATTTCTATTTCTTGCAGTTTTTTTTTTAAAGTTGATAGTATTTGAGCAAAAAATTATTCAAGACCAACATTCGACAATTTTTAGTAATTAATATTTTGTTAACTATTGCGAAAATTGCAAAATGGTAGAAGACTTTTCAATTCGTTTTATCTACACAAAAGCGGTTGGCAAAAACTTATGGGACATCCTGTATAGTCATGTTTAAATTAAAATAGACGTCATTATATCGTCTTTTGATGTTGCTCCACTACTTAGATTAGTAGAGATAAAGCAATCTCAAGAGACAACGTAACGACATCTATTTTAATCTATTAGATGCTATTATGTTGTCTTTTAATGTTACTCTGCTACTTGGGAATGCAACAAATTTAATCAATTTTATATATATATATGTACACATATGTACATATAAAATATAAGTATCTTAAAATAACAATAAGATGCGCAACGCATCTTAAAATTAGCAACTTTTCTCAGAAGAGAATCTTTAAAATTGTAAATTGAACAACGTTTTAATTAGATTATACTTGTACAGTTAATATAAATATATATATAGGAAGATGCCTTTCCGAGTCACAAACACTGGTAGTTCGTGTGTAAATGAATTTATTCATTAATTTCATTAACAAACGTTTCGATCCTCACTTCAGATCCTTATCAATGTATACAATTCGACCACATATCATTGTTCTTCCCGGAACGATGATAATGTTGAGATTAGAGAATGCGAAGTCAATTTCGTATTCTCTAATCTCAACGTTATCATCTTTCCGGGAAGAACAATGATATATGGTCGAATTATATACATTGGTCGCGTTTCAGCAGACTCAACTGTGTGGAGCAAATCCGTGAGCACTCGCTGCTATTGGTGTATTCTTCTAGATCATCCAATAGCAGCGAGCGCTCACGGATCCGTAACAGTTGAGTCTGCTAAACGCGACCAATGATAAGGATCCGAAGTGAGGATCGAAACGTTTGTTAATGAAATTAACGAATAAATTCATTTACACACGAACTACCAGCGTTTGACTCGGAAAGGCATCTTCATATACATAGATTTATTCAACTGAATCTAATTATACTCTATCTATATATATTTTAATATAATACACATTCTAATTCAGAATTTTAGAAATGCTAAAGTTGCTATTTTTGACATATTGCTTTTCTATCAAAGCGGCGATATATGAAAATAATTAGAGTATATTTGCTCATCTATATGCTTCCGTATCAAATCGTTTTTATTTTGACGATTTTAAAACCCTTTTGATGCAATTAAAACAATTTGCTAACGCAATATAATATCTATGAAATAAATTTAATATATTTCGTTAATTAATGTTTCCGATAATATCAATGATTTCTTCTTTCGGAACATATTGTTTTTCCAACGCGAGTTTACGATGGATATCAATTTTTAAATATTAAAGGCCAGGAACTTCTTGTATTGACTAGCTAGTGAAGACATATATACACGGACTTATTTGTACGGCAATGTTAATCAAGGAGACGGAATAATTAACGCAGTATTGATCGCGAGAGCGCGGCTTTACATCCGATTAATCCATGCATATCTCCCTCCGTGTCTCTCCGTTGCCTGGCCGTTCACAAATGTAACGATCCCATTATTAGATTTGTTAAATATATTTATTATTAGACTTGTTAAAAATATATACAATGTGTGTGTTAAGGGAAATGTACAGTAATAAAATATTCAGTTGTATGGATATTTCACAATGCATATTATAATACATACTACAATAGACGTACATCGATGGCGATTACCTTGCCGGAGAGCCGAATGTATACGTAGCATACAAGTACACAAAGTATACATATACAGGGTAGACACATACATATCGAAGATTTTGTCTGTTCACTCGGCATATATAAGCAATGAGCATAATCCTTTTGAACGCGTTAATTTCTTGCATATCGTCTATTTCCCAGTGAGAAATGATAATGGAATCGACATCGATTCGACGTCGATTTCATTGTCATTTCTCACTGCGTTACATCCATTTGCATTTCTTTAACCATTTAAAGGGACCAGAGTGGAAGCATTTCATATCGGTGTATAGAGAATTACAATTTATTAAGTAAGCGATAATTATTATATATACAATAATTCAGCATAAAACAGTTACAATAAGTTATTAAAAATTTAATCGATAATTTCAAATGATAAGGACACAGTGATATATTTTGTATGTGGAGATAGATATGAGCGATCGAACGCGAGAATGTTAGATCAAACAGTCGACTTCCTGACACAGAGGTAGTAAGACGCGCTCCAAACTGTTACAGAATGAACCATTATCTTTAATACCTGATTCGGAGACTTTGATTTTTCTTGCGTTAATCATCCAACCATCTACCAAACATCTTATATGACAAATTCGTAATAATGTACATCCGGTTTGTTAACCATTACATTGCTGTTATGCAGCTTTATATAGCTTTATGTTATGACCAGTGACAAGAAACATCTTGAATGCTTTCTTAATAAAATTGTTCAAATAAAACTGTTATAAAAGAAATAAAAGAACCTATATATATATATATTGTCAACCCAAATAAAACAAAAAGTCATTGTAGCATCAAAGTAATGTTAAAATTACTCCAAAATGATCACTAAAAGTCACTTTTCAATTATTTATAATTCAATCATTTACTATTTAACGTCGTTTTGACGTTACCGTGACTTGTTGTTCTGCTTGGAAAACGAATTTCGTTGAAGAAGACAGAGAGAAAACAACAAATGTAGACGTTTTATTCATTGTGAATGACTGAGACAGTACAAGTACTTTGCGACTCTCCGTAGACGATGGTAGCTATTACGTTACTTTTACTATCAATCATTCAGTTACAGAGCTTACACATCCGGAAGCAGACGAGAGTACGGTCCGAAGAGGAGAATGGGAGTGTACGTGACAGGCGTAATCGGCGTGATCGTGTTCTATGTCGCGGTGCTGGCCGTTGGCATATGGGCCGCCGCGTTCAAGAGGAGGCAAGTTGCGCAGGGCCACTTCCAGGCTGACATGATGCTGGCAAACCGACGTCTCGGTCCGTTGCTCGGTGTCTTCACCCTTATCGGTAATTGTCCTCGAATACCTCACGTAGAAGGGAAAAAATAAATTTTGTATGATCGTTTTGTTACCGATACGTGTTCAACATAAATTTCACTTCGGCAAATCCTGCTTTGTGTCAGTAGAATTTTCCTAACTAAACTTTTTCATGGGAAAACCTAGGAATTTAATCGAAGAGCTTAACTTTACCTGAGAGCTGAACTGAAAGTCATGATGACATTATAAAACAGTTCTAAAATGATTATTAAAAGCTACTTTTAGATCAGTCATGATTCATTTTAAAATGTCATTTTATGTCATTTATTCTGAACTGTTGTTCTGCTGGAGTTGATCCCTTAACCCCGGATCTACAATAGATGTTTTAAGCCTTAAGCCGTAAGAAATTGATCAATTACAATCGCATCCGAGAAGAATAAGCGGCTGTGATTCGCCCATTTCTTATGGCTTAAGGCTCAAAACCCTATTGTAGATCCGGACTAATTCGTTTACGCGATAAACAAAAATTGAAACAATTTATTACGACAAGGGCACTTTGAGTCAACAAATCTATTTATCGCGCTATGTGTGACCCTGGTTAGAATCAGCGTCTATTATGCGGACTTCCTGCTTTGAAACACTTCGAAAAGTCGATGAGGTCAAGGATCAATTTATGTGATATATCGGAATATGCGGATATTATTAAAGAAAAATTGCGTCTGCAAGCTCTCCCAAGGAACACACTAAATCAAGAAAAAATCAAAATGTTAATTTTTTTACTCGTTTTTTATTACAAAATTTGATTGTTTATTGACTTCAAGCATCAAAATAAAATTATTTTGATACCATTTCGATTTTTTGTTGACTTTTGTGTTCCTTCAACTTATTCATGAGTCCCTTCATGATCGATTTGAAGGATTGGTTGGTTTTTCCTCACCCGAGAATTTGATTGGATCGTATTACTTCTTACATTTTCTGTTGCCATCTTTTTATAGCAGTTAAAAAAAAGACATAGAAATACACGAATTAATTTTTCTAATTTCGAGAATTAAAAATCTATATACTTCAAAAAATTATCACGACACAAATGTTAGCCTCTGCAGGCATTGAACTCACTCATGGAACTGATAATCTGCCATGAGATGCCGCGCCCAAAACGCGGCTCTTTTCTAGACTTGTTATATCCTCCGTCAGACTTTACAAAATTATCTTGTAAAAAGGTGTATACGCCTCGACTTTATTTTCTCTCCAATATCGACACATGTCAACCGCTTTGTACTGTATAAGGAGTGACGTCGTAAAAGGAAGTGTAGGTTGCATCTTCACGTCGGCGTCGGTTGTCTTATTTAAAATTCCCTCTCGCCTTCTCGCGGATATATTTCTGACTTTGCTATTTTTAATCTAGCTCCAATTTTCGAGACAAAAGAGATTTTGTGTGTTTGTGAAATGGATTATATCGTTTTCTTTTAATCCATTTTATTTTTATAAGCTACCTGCGTATTTTGCTTTCATTCAACCGTGTCAAATTTTCTCATTTCTCCCCTATACTGCATGTTCTGAATATCTCTTTGCGTTCTCCATTACCGTAATGACCACACCGAGATATGCATCCCTAAAAAAAACGTGATGTCAAGTACATTCCCTTCCCTCTATTCCGTCTCTCTCTCAACGATTCGTTTATTTTTTCCATTTCCTTCCCATTTCTTTCTCCAGTATAAACTGGACAATGAGATAGGAATAATTTACCATGCATTTGTTTCGTTATTTATACGCGTGTAACTTGACACAAAAAAAATTCGCTGACACGACGTACTTTATCTTGGCGTAACAAATCTCGACAGTTGTTGTAATATACGAGAATGAAGAATTTTAATGCAACATATAGAGGAAAGAAGCGGGTTACCATTTTGTTTTATTGAAGCAACTTAACAGATGTTTACTTACTGTAAAACTAAAATGCAGATTTTACAACAACGCAGTAAACTATTAATAATAATAATGACTAATAGTTATGTTATAACGTCTAAACAGATTGTGAAGAAGCGATCATCTTCAAAATTCAAAGCAAACTTAAGATATTATGATATTCTACAATCCTTTAACTCTTTTATAATGGTGTCCTTTCCTCTGTTCTTATTATCGATAAAAATTTTCCTAAGAGTATTGTTTTAATAGAAGGGATAAAAGTACTTTTGCGATTATTTTTACTCATTATATATATGTGCAGCGACATGGGTTGGAGGAGCCTTTGTTAATGGAACCGCCGAGGCCATGTTTACGAGGGGTTTAGCTTGGTGTCAAGTACCCATCGGATACAGCCTTAGCCTGATTTTCGGTACGTCGCACATGGAAACATTTAATATACTTAGACAATGTTGCGATTAATGATTGCAAAAATAGATCTGGTTCCCAAGGAACACATAAAAATCAACAAAAAATCAAAATGACTTTATTTTGATTCTTAACATCAATAGTCAAATTTTGTAATAAAAAATCACTTGACTTTCATGACATCAAGATGAAGTCATTTTGAGTTTCTTTTGACTTGATATGTTCCTTGAGTTTTCGAGTAACGAAATCGCAAACGAATCGAAACTAATAACTCTCTTTAATTGTTCATATCTTCTGTACCATTGATTTTTGTTAATTAATGTCGCATCCAACAATGAATTTATATTGTAGGCGCCATGCTCTTCGTGCGTCCGATGAGGAAGGCCGAGTATGTGACGATGTTGGATCCTTTTCAAGAACGGTACGGCGCGGGCATCGGGGGCTTGCTCTTCCTTCCGGCGCTGTGTGGTGATCTATTCTGGTGCGGCGCCGTTCTAAGAGCTCTAGGAAGCTCGCTCGCCGTCGTTGCAGGCGTCGATCCGAACATCAGTGTTTGCGCGTCCGCGCTCTTGGCGGCCATGTAAGGATAACGGAAACAGTCACGCTCGATATGCTCGATATACGAGGGCTGTTTCTAAAGTTTCGGGAATTGTATGTACAATCGAATTGAAAACATACATTGTAGTTGTTCGATATAGTTCCCATTTAACTTGGACACACTTTATCCCAACTCTCGAAACCATTTTTCTCTCTAGGCCTTCTTCAAAAAACTTTTGAGGAGTATCTTTTATCCATCGATGTATAGCTCGCGTGATTCTTAGAACTTTGGAAACATATATCCTTTGTACATAACTTACGAGACACGAGCAAGGTAAGAAATGCGAAGTGTACTTTCAGATATACAGTCTTCGGCGGATTGTATTCCGTGGCGTGCACCGACGCTCTCCAACTGCTGTGCATTCTGCTGGGTTTAGTGATAGCTGCGCCGTTCTCCATGGTACATCCTGCGGTATCATTTGAAAATCATCTGACCCCGAGGGACTGGCTGGGACACGTGAAAAGTGAGGACATGGGCGAATGGGTGGACGGCATGCTGTTGCTGGTGTTCGGTGGTATACCTTGGCAGGTAATTCGATTCTTCAGATGGATCACGATAAAGTTCAAATCGCATCTGCAAGATTGTTTATTCGATAAATTCGAAACAGGACGAATTGTACCTTAAAATCTTATAATGCTGTTATAAAAAAGAACGTGCCGCTAAGAAAGTTACTAAAGAATTTATCTTCTTTATTTGTTGGAACGTAATAATTTAATGTCGCAGCAAGTTTATATTGTTAACACGTTTTTAGGCGTTCTACTTTTTCTTCAAGCTTTACCCCTTATAGAAATTTAATACCAGTACTGGCCAATTAATTACTTATTTTAAAGTATTGTTAATAGTACTTTTAATACTGAAAATATGTGATTAATTGGCTATAGTACTAGTATTAAATTTTTACAAGGGACTTTTAACGAATTCTATGTATTAAGAGTCTTACAATGTCTTTACGAAAGATACACCGTTTTAAGAAGATTATTAAAGAATTAATTTTATTAATTTGATTTATTTGTTAGGAAGTAATAGTTTAGTATCATTAACACCCTTTGAACTAAACAATCTTCTTCTTCAGGGTTATTTTCAACGAATCCTAAGTATTAAGAGTACTTCTGTTGCAACGACTCTATCAATTGCCTCGATGTTCGGTTGCTTGATACTCGCAGTACCATCAGCTTTAATTGGAGTAGTTGCTCGTGCCACCGATTGGTCCTCGGTACCAGGTTATAACAGAACGTTCACCACGGAGGACGGAAACGCCGCGATGCCGATGGTCCTGCGATATCTCACGCCTCAATGGGTATCTTTTGTTGGTAGGTTTACCATATATCCTAAAATTACTTCTTCGGTCATAAAAGGATTGTTCGATTTTATTTTTTACAATTATATCAATCTTGCTAAAGGTCTCGGTGCGATCTCGGCGGCAGTAATGTCTTCGGCAGACTCCAGTATACTCGCTAGTAGTTCTATGTTTACCAGGAATGTTTACAAACTCACGATACGACCAAAAGTAAGCGTAACTTATGCCGATTAATCGATGGCAACAACAAACATCATTGAAGCTTCTCCTTCGTTACAGGCGTCCGAACGTGAGCTAAATTGGGTCTTAAGAATTGCCGTAATCGCGGTTTCCATACTGTCTACTCTCGTCGCTCTTACGGTCAGCAGTGTTTACTATCTTTCGTAAGTAAACCTACTCTTCTTTATTTTCTTACAACAGACATGCAATCGCTCCTATAAGTGCTCTAAATTATTGCAATGGATTTAAGCCGCAATAATAATTGATAGAAAACATGAGCTGTATCTTTTTCTCAGTTTACGACTTTACTTTTTTTTTTAACATCAATTTTCTATTTCTATATCAAGCCTTTTTACATTTTTTTCACGTATCTATTCGCAAAATTAATTAGCTTATTATTTATTAAATAGATTTAATATTACAATGTTCAATGTGTAAAAATATGTTGCATTTTTGTTCAAAGGTATTTGTGCGCCGATCTCGTCTATGTCGTTCTGTTCCCGCAACTATTAGCCGTTATCCATTGGCCTACTATGGTGGATACTTACGGCTGTTTGGCGGGATATTTTATCGCTATCGTCTTGCGTCTCGGTGGTTAGTGACAACTTCTAATTATTAAATAATTACTCAAACAATATAAATAAGATTATCACACGATATCTAAAGACTTTTAGATTTCTTTTATATATTTTAGCTACATTACAGATTTTTATTACTCCATTACTTGAAAAGATTGGGAAACCTTTTTAATACTTGCAGTAGCCTTATTGTTTCTTTTGCAAATTAAAAAAATTTTTATCTAAAAATATCACCTAAAAATTCAGAACTTTATAGGTAAATTTAAGCTTAAACACGTAAATGTTTTCAGGTGGTGAAAGAGGACTTGGCATACTCCCGTTGATCGAATATCCGTTCTACGATAAGAAGACGCGCACCCAGAAGTTTCCCTTTCGCACTGCCGTCATGATGATAGCCCTCTTCACTCAACTCTTCACTAGTTTTCTCACCAGAACTCTACTTGGCAAAGGATACTTTCCGCAATGTTGCGACGTACTGAACATATACTCTCCCAAGAAGTCCAAGGAGCCGGGCGTTATGCAGAGCAGCTCCGGCGCCACTCTCATGGATTCATCCTCGGTAATTATAAATCATAAATTAAGTATCGTTCGTTTGGCGTACTAGATCGATCAATAACGCACCGATCTCTTTCAGAAATCGACATCGGGTATAGATTCCTGCGATGGCGTCGGCACATGCGTTTACGACGACGAAAGAACCTGCGGCCACGAGGACGCGGTCGATCGCGGCGATGATAACGCGATGACCAACAACGATCTTGCCGAGCTGTCGAAGGCAAAGAGCATCGGGACGTCGGTTGTGCAACGAGCGAACCAGAATCTACAAAATCTGCGTAGCGCGATGCCTACGCCGGCGCGACACGTCTCCATGGCGAGTCCGGTGTACACGCCGATACAGAACGATGCATGCAGAGAACAGATTCTTGCGGTGAGGAATCTGCGGAGTCCTCTTGGTCCCCAAGGCGGAGTACTCTCGCCCACCCGGTCGATCGGTATGCCGGCGACTCCGATCACTCCGTGTGCTCCTTCTTACGCCAAAGTGGGCTGCGAGCTCGGGCCCAGCAACGAGAAGCCGCGGAACAACGACAGGATGAGCATCGTCGAGAGAAGCAACATGGAGTACAATTTAAACGCTCAAGAGAACCCACCCGCCAGCGTAGGTCCTAGGAAGAGCGTCAAGGGCGTGAAGCTCGTCGGTATGGAGGGCGGCACGTTACGGAGACCGTCGCTGCAGGTGAGGGATGACGACCTCGACGTATCGTCGTCTTTATAAAGCCCGGAACAAGTCGGGCCATCGTTTCATTTTTCCGCGCATTTTATTTTGTATCTTCAGTTATTTGTATGAGTTAGTTTATTAAATTCTATATACTGGTTTTACTTACGTGTATGTTTTTTTATTTATCAGCGGTAAGATTGTTCGTAATAAAGATGACGAGAGGTCCCGGGGAAGTCCTTAGAGAGGATACCTTGCGAAGTCTCGAATATCTCCTAGTATTTCCCATCCGTAGCTTCTCTCCCCTTGATTTTAATTTTAATACGCTGATGAATACTACTTTTGTTAATTTATTGTTTTTCTCCGTGTATCGCAGGTTTTCGTTGAAATAAAGAATTTATTAGCAAATGCAATGTAGAGGAAAGGAAGGGATTGGAATACTATTTTATTTTTATTGAAATAACTCAATAGATATATTTATTATGTGATATAACTGCTTTTACTATAAAGTTTGTTAATCAGTAGAGAAAATTAATATAATATATCAATATAAGTAGAGATTCTTCGAGTAAAACGCTAAACTAAAATGCAACTCTTATGCAGTAAACACTAATGACCAATGTGGCCATGTTATAACGTTTAAACAGACTAACAGTTACAAGTAATTTTAACGATCACCCTTAGAATGCATTGCAAACTGTAATACAAGATATCGTGGTATTTTACAACCCTCATCTATTCCATAACCGTCTCCTTTCCTCTACATGATTTTGAAACATTTTATTATCATTTGGCAGAAGATATAAAAAAATCATTATTTGCTTATCTGGATTGCTTAATTGAATTTTACGCATATATTATTTTTATGCATATGTTTGGTTACTTGTTAGTAGCGCAATTGCTCATCAATAAAAATAGTGAAGATCCGGAGGATCCTCGCAGTATGAGGACCCTGAAAAAATCGAGGGTCCTCAGAGAGATCCTGTGCGATCTCGCAATCTTGGCGTTGGCTGTTGGAGTATGTATTGAAGTAGATTTCCCATAGCTTCCCATACATAGCTCCCATGAGACGACATTTTGTGCCGCGTGTCCTCAGAGCACATTCTCACCGACACCGTCGGTGGAACTAGTCAACATTCTGGACAGAAGACAGAGCAGCAGCTCGTACGGACCAGGTTCTCTATCCCCCGTGCCGTCGATGGGGGTAGAGGCATGCAAAACTCATGGGACCGCGGCTGAAGGACAGAGCGGGCCTGATCATTGCAAGATAAAGAGGGGCATCGTGCGACATCACAGGTATCTATGAGGAAACGCGAGGAATGCAAATTAGATAAAAAGATTTCAGAATCTTTCCTTCTTGACGCATAATATCTTACAAAAATCTTAATGTTACAAGTAACAAAAACCTATACACCATTAAAAATTAGATACAAAAATTTCAAAATCTTTCCTTCTTAAACTTACACCTTCACAAAATATATTTTTGAATTTAATTTTGCTTACAACAAATCACAGAATAATAATTATGTACGAAATGACAATGAAAATATTATTCTCTGAAAATTTTTTCTTTTCAATTAAGTGATCTATTTTTCGTAAGATTTGTGAATTTCTCTCGAATTCAACTAAATTTGATTTTATATATATCAATAAATCAAAAAGAATAACATATTACAGTATAATAAAAATTATGTATATACAATATAAGATGAAATGAAAATATTATAATCCTTTATAATAGATATAATGGGGTGCTGTTGAAAATAATATCTTATAATGAATTCTCTCTCTTAAAAGAGAGTTTAATATTCGCTGTAAAAGATCCGATTATTGAACACTCTCTCCGGTTATGTTTCTCAAACGTTTGCGCAGCTTCAATGACACGGGCGACCGAGTGGCGTTGACAACGCTCGCCAGACAGCCGAATTATCCATCGATGCCACTAAGGCCGGATGATTGCCGTATGACATTAGCAAGGAAGGACAAGCGCCTGGCCACAATTGGCAGGCACTCGTCGATGACGAACGAAACGGAGCTCAGCAACACGAGCAGCCTGATTGTCAGTCCCACCTTCAGCATGTACAGTTCTGCCGCGAAAAGTTCTAATTATTTCGTCACCGATGACGAAGCCGTCAGCAGGTTCTAAAACCGGGTTCCGTAACTAATAGGATCTCCAGAACCGAAAACGATATTTATGGACTTTATGAAGTCGAAATTGACACGTTCAGCTGGTGCAAAATATCGTTCCGTAGTTTCCATAGTTTTTCCATTCATCAATTTATATATATTTTTTTTTAGATAGGAGGTAGAGAATAAAATTAAAAGCATGAGGTTTTGTATAAAATGGGCATTGAAAAAGTTTTTCCTGAATAGGAAGAATAAGAACAACGATAGCTATTTTGATTAATCCAGAAATAGTCACCTGGAGTATTTTTATATTTCTATTCTTTACAATCTTTTTAGATATAAAATTCCATTGAAAATCTGCAATATAAAAAACTTTATATCAATTTTTATTTTTTAGAATTTTTATTTTTTACTGACATAACAAGCTATTTAACGTGTTTAACATTTGTTAAGTATCTACTTAATTTTTTCCAGAAAATTGTGAGTAAAGATATTCTAAAATACCGATAAATTAATAATAAATTAATAAGTTAATAATATGTAATATATTGTTAATAGTAATTTTAATTAGCATGTAAAAACATCCAGGTGACCGTTTACGTAAAAAAAAAAAATAAATTGATTATTCTCGAGTTAAGAATACTGAATATAACTTTATTTGTGAACATTGTGTTTGTTATATAAAACAAATCTCTTGCATCAGCTATTCTACTGTTACGTCCCTGTTCTAAGGCATACTTGGAGAACACGAAACAATAAGGACAATCATAAGACCCGCCCCGTCACTCTCTTGGCGTACTCAATCCTGTAATTCTGTTTGTGTTGTACGATGGATCTATCTAGAATTGTCATAAATTTACATATACGGAAAAAAGAGAGATATATATGTGTATATTGAGAGACTGAAGTTTCTCAATCGATGAAATGTATGTGCTGGCTCGTTAGTTAATAGAATTTGTACTGAGCGTTTTGTATTATGGACTAGAAACAACGTGAATTACACACTTATATATTTGTGATAATTTGCGTGTTGTAATCTCCGTTACTGCTATGTTATCGCATTCCATTCTATTTTCATTTCAATAATTCGAGTAACATTTATAAATATTATTCATGAAGAACCAAGTGGATGAAGGAAATATTTTATGAAAGTTACTTCGCAAAAGCAAGTTAGAATTGATACCAGAATTGGATAATATGACAATGTCCAGATATGAAGCTAATCGATCTTAGAAATGTATTAAAGTCATTCTTGATATGAGAACGCGTGTATATTTATATATCCTTCATTTATTCGTTTCTTCTGAATAACTTTTGGATAAAAAGATGTGTAACATTTTTTGTCATAATTAAGTAGAATTACACAACGAATTGTTAAAACTTTAATTGGTGTAATTATAATTTAATATTCTTGGAAATAAATTTTCTTTAATTTGTTTTAATTTATTTATGTTCTATTATATTTGTATGTGCCACTTTACGTATGTTTATCTTGTTATTTGTCGAGCGTGTCTTGTGATGTTTGTTGTATTTTTTATGTATACGGAAGCGTAGTACTAAACTAAACTCGTTTCTTTCTCATGAGTAAGTAATTTCTTGTTATGCTACTTTAAATCGTATCAAAAATACTTAAACAATTAGACTTTGTATACTATATATAAAATGTGAAATTAGAAACAGCGTTTAGGATAGTTCATAAGCTCCACTTACCAATCTTCAGACTGACAACTATGTATGGAACCAATAATTCGTAGGTAATGTAACCAACTTTTGTAAATCGCAGGTCTCCTATTTCGCAACATTCCACTTGAATTTAAAATAAGTCGAAACCAACGGCAGGCAATCTCTTGTTTTGTTGAGAAACTAAGAGGCCTGACTGATTCGTATAATAAATATTAAATATTATAACTTTTTGTAAACACACATACACACACACACATACACACACACACACGTACATACTTGATGTATATATGTAGGTACACAACTTAGAAGGATTTTGATGCAATATTTATAACAATTTTAGATTTTTAATATGACCCAGTTAACTAATAGTCATTAAATAATAATAACTTGAGAATAGACATACAACACTTGTATTAGAATATCTTAAATTTTACGATGTCGAAGACGAGAGAACTGAGATGAAAACTCGAACGATTCTCTTACAACATATAAACTCTACAAAACTTAATCAATAGAAATGGTCAAAAAATCTCTTTGATTAAAGACATAAACAATCATAAAATTTGAAGCAGTCTGTAAAATAAGACAGCACGAGTGTCTTAACCAACAGTTGAATAATTAGCAAAATAATTCTAACGATAACCGTACATAGTCTTTATATATATTGCTTTGATAAATTATTTTTGATGTGAAATTGAAACATTTATATTCTCTGTTAACATAACTGAACGCATTTCAATGTATTCATGTGTCTTTTGAATCTATAGAAAGTATACTTTCCATTTCTCTTGCCTCTGACATTACATAGCTCGGCATCATGTTAAAATGATCATGCGATAACGCCGAATGTACCGGAAACGAATGCATTTACTATTCCTCTTTAGTTTAGTTTTAGAGGAAGAAAGAAGAGATATGAGACCCGATAAATGTGGTCGTGAGAGAAACGACGCTGCAAGCTGTGTCACAATCGGCAGAGCTTACATCGTTGCTAACAACGGAACGTCCAAAGAGTGTAACATGCAAATTTATGATATGCCAACAAGAAAGTACGATATTTTTCCACCGATGCGATATACCCTAGCTCCGTAGTAATTATATAGCACAACACATAATTATATAATATTGTACAAGTATAGTTACAAACGCGGATTACTCTCTTGCAATTAATCCACGTTACATTAGTGAGGAACGTCTTCCTCAAGCTCAATAATATATATAATTATATATGTAGAAGGAGTGAATACAAATGATAGAGGTAATCATCAGATATAAATAGCGGGACACTTTTATATCGCGCAAAGGAACTTTATAGATAACAAAAATATCTTCTTCATTACTCGTTGGAAAATGTAATACTATATGAATTTATGCGCGATGTGAATATTTACTTATCGTTATGTTATCTCCATTAATTTAAAGGGTAGATTATCGTAGATGAATCAGTCGAATAATTAGCAAAATCTCCAGTTATACATATAGTTGCAGTTTAGTTAATATTTACCCGGGAAAAAATGTTTCATTTATAATTAAATATAATTACATATAATTACACATAAAATTAATATAGCTTATGTACAATTATATGTATATAATTATATGTATATATAAAATATGTCCATATATATAACATTTTTTCCCGGGTATTCAATTAATGAAAACAATGCTAACATAAAGTCAAAAAACATGTGGAAAATAACACGTTTCGATATCGTTTCTAAATGTTGTTCTCATACAATCGTTAATTTCACACTTTTCCATTGTAAATGAGCATTAAATCTTAGGGACGAATCGTAGCTACTTGAAATGAGTGAGACTTCATACTCGAATTCCACCTTTAGACTCTCTACGCACTTTTGTAAGACGATGTAAAATAGCGGAGAGACGAACATCGAATACCTGCATCAGTATTATTAAATTTAAGAAGACGAGCATTCGAGACTTAATCGACTCGTGAAGAACTGAAAGAAAGTACTTCATAGCATAGTATTTAACCTTTTAAGGTAGAATAATTCGTGATTCGATGATCGCACGATACGCGTCCTTATTTTTCTATTATTCCACCACTTATAAGAACATAATTAACTCTAGTCCGAACATAAATATTAATAGAATATTAATAGAACATTAATTTTAGTGTAATGCAAAGTAAAATCCTCATAAAATATCTTATATCACTTCATTGAAAATTTATTCTTCTAAATTTTTTCTTCTACTATCGCAAAATTCGCATAATATTTAAATTTCCCAAACAAAGTTAAAAGACGACATAGTAACGTATAATAAACGCCACTAGAAATTACTATATCGTCTTTTGATATCATTTTGCTACCTTTAGGTTCCATTTATCATTTCCGTAATTCTTCATGTTTGTATATGTAATTATCGTGGTATTTATATATCCACCTGTATATATTACATATCTATTTTTTCTGAAGACGCATTTTTTCGAGCGTGTGCGTATGCGACCATCGGAGCTTTTGTAAGAAATATCCCTTGTAATGTATACGTTTATACCTATATATATATATATATATATATATTACACGATATACTAGTTGTTAATAAGTAGTATATATAACAAGTGTATTCAATCTTCGGATATAAATTACGTAATCAATATATTGAACAACGTGAATTATGTGCCAAAGCGTAAGATAAAGAGAATGCCATTGGCCTGACCGCGCCGATATGCCTTGGGGAAGATCTAGTGCGAAAAAATTGTATAATTTCTTTAATTTTAAGATACATAAACATTAATGTTTAGAAAAATTTACATTCAAAGTCATTCCACAAAAATAGCAAGTCGATTTATTTATGAACTAATCAAAATTTTGAATTGTTGAAATTGATTTTGATATTGAATTTAATTCTTTCCGAATTACCGAAGACTGATTGATTTTTTTTCTGAAAGATAAAGATTTTAAAAGACTCGCTAAAAATTTATAAGATTTTTTTGGCACGAAAGTATAATTCAATAAATAGACGTGAGACTTGAAAAAGCTAACAGAGATTTATCACTGCACGATCAACTTCTTGAATGTTTTTGGCGGATACGGTCAGCTAATGTATAACAAGTTAGTCACTTAAGCTCGCCTTGATATAAGAGTTCAGCATTAAAAAAGATCGAGAGAAAAAAAAGCATTAACGTCCGATATTTGCAATAAAATTTCAGAAAAACTTTCCGATTTCGATAAAATTTGGTAAAAACATCTCAAACGTCATAATCTAAGATAGTTCCAGTGAGACAGGAACTTTAACTCAAATAAAAATTTATCAATATAACATCTGAATATAAACGTTTCGTGTAAAAAAAATAAAAGATGTGTGAAGTGCTACCGATTGAAACATTTATCTCAATCAACGTGAACCCGATTAGTAACATTTGCACTAAAAATTTTTCCATGAATAATAGTCGTTTGTCATTTAAGATATTTTTACTAAATCTCATGAAGATCGGAGTTTTCGGAATTTTATTTAATATTTGTTTTAGATATTTTCATCATAGTAAATAAGTCAATCGCATTAATAAT